GGACAAATTACATAGTTTACTTATGCTTCTAAAACAGAATACAATCCATTGTATTTTAGAATAACCACCTTACAATTACCACTGGGCACTTTAAAAATTCCAAAACATACTAGGCAATCTACATTTTTGTAATTTTCTCACATATTGACCATTTCCTATTTACTCAGCTTAATAATTACAGCATCATTATTCATAATTTTTTTCAATTACACATAGGACCAAAATAGCAATCAAACAGAAAAATGATGAAAGTGCCTGGAAATACAGGCATTAGATTATAAAATAAATCAAATGTATCTAGCAGATATTTATAAAACATTTCAAACAGAAAAGAATCTACCTTCTTCTCAGCATCTCACGTAACTTTCTCCAAAATTGACAACATTCATTGACACAAAGCAATAATCAAGAGATACAAGGAAAAAAAATAACAGAGAGAAAAGGGGAAATATTAGTACAGACATTCTCCCTAGCTCAGAATTTAAACCCTATTGGATTGGAATATAAGCTTTAGAAAAATAGTTCTTTGCACTCGGAGAGAATTTGATAAGGTAAATACTCTCAATTTTAGAAAAATAAATGACACATACAGTGAAATAAATCACTTTGATATAAGTTATTGATTCAAGTAAAAGTCATAGAGTTACTAAAATTGTTATAATAGGATAACTTCTGAGGGATAAACATGATACATGATGTTATATTAACATTTAATCGTAATAGCCACAGAGGTGGAAAACGCAGGGAAAAAATATTCTGCAGTTAACAACACAATGCATGCCAGCCCTGGTCTTTGTACTAAATACTGGTTTCTTTATCACACTGAATATCAAGATGTCTCTGCATCATGGAATTTCCTACTTACAGAAATTGTCTCTTCTTCAGCCTGTATGACTTAGCTAAGAAATCTACTAGACCCAGGATGGAGTTTACGAAGAGCGAATCCGACAAGAAGAATCATGGTTCTTCCCAGACTATTGACATAATGAATCTATGGGTATAAATGTTACTTAGGAAAAGTAGCGTTAGCTACAAGGCACTGAATACAACATTGAAATATCAAACAAGTTCAATATAAGTGAACTGGAAGTTTTACTTTGATCGTTTGTAGAATTGATTTCAAAATATACAAAAAACAAGAATAAATTCTATATCAGAATTGTAAATGATATCTCCACTGACTAATTCTGCTAGTTGTCTCAGAAGACAGTGACAAATGGACAAATGGATGATTTTAATCCAAGGTGAAAGTGGTTCATCAATTGTAAGACACTTAGGACAAGACCAGATCTCCTTATCTCTCCCTCTCTTCTTCTCTCTCTATTTCTATCGCTACCACCCTCTCCAAGGATTACTGAAAATTCACCCAGAAACACTGCCAACCTACATAATCAAGTGATTTCATGTTTGTTGGATAAATAAAGGCCAAGACTTTCCCCTCAAAGGAATATCTTCAGTGCTCACAATATTTCTTAAATTAAAAGGAAGAAAATTATTTCCTTTGAGATTTACACAGGATTTCCTTAGGTTACTCAAATTTAACATAAAATGAATCAGTATAAGGGAATGTTAATCACATACAACAAAAACTGCTCCAGTGGTCACAGTTTACTAAGGTAACCTGTCTCTTTGCCTGAGGTCAAGATTACATCATCATAAGGAACTGTGTAATTACTGCTCACTTGCATTAAAAGTGCAAGGAGACACTTTTAATTTGTGTTCAGCTATATTCATAAAAGGCCAGTTTTAACTTTTCTTAAATTTTATTTTATTTTATTAATTACACTTTATTCACTTTGTATCCCCCCATAAGCCCCTCCATCCTCCCCTCCCGGTCTCACCCTCCCTCCCCCTTCTTCACGCATGCCCCTCCCCAAGTCCACTGATAAGGGAGGTCCTCCTCTCCTTCCTTCTGATCTTAGTCTATCAGATCTCATCAAGAGTGGCTGCATTGTCATCTTCTGTGGCCTGGTAAGACTGCCCCCCCCCTCAGGGGGAGGTGATCAAAGAGCAGGCCAATCAGATTATGTCAGAGGTAGTCCCTGTTCCCATTACTATGTAACCCACTTGGACACTAAACTGCCATGGGCTACATCTGTGCAGAGGTTCTAGGTTATCTCCATGCCTGGTACTTGGTTGGAGTATGAGTCTTTGAGAAGACCCCTGTGAGGAGAGGTCAGTTTTAACTTTTAAAGATGGGCTATCAAGGCAAAACTTGGTACCTAATGCTATGTTGTCACCAATAAGTTTCCTTTTTCATTTGAACTACAAAGAGGCTACTTTTGAAAATGAGACAACAATCTACAAGAGATTATTGGATTCCAGAGGGAAAATTCAAATGATTGCTTTAAAAACTCATCACTAATAATTAATAATGAATTCCAGCTAAACAATAGCAGGTGTTCCACTGATCGTAAATGGAAGCAGGAGTGTTTTTATAAATACTAAGTATGTACTGAACAATAAGCTTGGCAGGAATTATTTCATCCTCTAATTGTCACCCAGAGGGAGTATCTCATCGTTGGCCACTTTTCCAAATTCATGTGCCCAATTAAATAATTTTTTCATTCCTTATTTTTAAAACAGCTTATCACACTGTGTTCTACCATTTCTTTCTTTCTTTCTTTCTTTCTTTCTTTCTTTCTTTCTTTCTTTTCTTTTCTTTTTTGCACTTCCCTACTCACAAGAACAAGCAGAGTGTAATTCCCCTTTTTGTTACTTAGGAAAAGCCAAATAACTTGCCAACCTTTATTTCCCTTCCCCTTCTTCTTCTTTTTCAGTCAAGAGCTACCCATCTAAAACATTGTTTCAGAGATTGGACTTTCAAAACAATCAGTGTAAACAGATAAAGTAAATGAGAGCAAATAGTAAGTTTTCTCTCTGACATTTCAAGAGTGTTTCCTCAGAGTTAGGGTGGTGCCAGCTGCAGATCCAAATGTATGCTTTTTGGCGTGTCATCACACATGCTTCATGGAGGAAGCCTTCTGTGCTTTCATTAGCAAAATCCACCTTAACCCCCGCAGAGATGCTTTTATTAGTTCTTCTGACCTTCAGCCGTTGTCAGAGTTCATAAAGAGTTGATTAGTATTTTGACAGCTAAAATGCTAGCATCTCCTGCTGCTTTTGGCAATGTTTGGCTCATTTTGTCATGTGACTTCCTTAGAAAACCTTCTGCTATCTATTAACGGATAATATGAAAAGATTAAGTAGCAAAAGAACAGTTTATTTTTATTGAAAATTGAAATTTAGAAAGTAATGGAACAAAAAGGAAACGATATACCTATGTATATACATATATTAGTGTGTGTGTTTGTGTGTGTGTGTGTATGCCGTTATCAACCCATGCATATCAACAATATGGCTCATCGTAAGCCCAGTTGATCCTAAGAAAGCAAAACATGTGTAGACTATGGCCTTCTTCCTTTCTTCACATTTTAATTTATTTTTCTTTGCACAATAGTGTCTTGTCTGAAGTTTGGGCTAATTACTAATTCTCAGTCCTCAGCCTCCTGAGTCCTGGAAAACACGATATGTCATTATATCCAGCTAGAGTAAGACTTTCTCCAACTACCATGACTGAAAAATATGGAAACAGCTATTTTAGAAAAACAGTATTTATGGTATATGTACATCAGGACTTGAGATGGCCCCCTTCCATGAGGTGCTCAGGAAGAGGCTGTGGTAAGAAAATTGAAAATATTACAGTTGATGCAGCATGACATTTTGCTGTGCGTCCATTGGATGCTTTAGAAATGGTGCCATGTTATTACTGTGAGTTTTATTTTAAATGCAAGAACATTGAGAAGCAGGTGTTCAGTAACTAGTTCAAAGTCACATGCTAGGAAAGAATTAAGTGTATTCTTTTTCAAAATCCTCTTTTCCTAAATGATCATAATCCTTTCCTCCATGTATCTACAAAAACAATTAGGTGATTTCAAACAAATGTTGACAGAGATTAGTTTCATCAATAAGTTCTTATAATTTCTGGCTCATTTTTCTTCATCTCAGATTCTAAATCATGTAAACATGCAGAAAGAAAAGAGAAAAGAAGGAAGAGGGGAAGAAAAAGAAAGGGTGAGGAGAAGGAAGAATCCAAAACTATCTGAAGGAAAAATCAGTGCTGGGGTTGTCTTGGTGTTCTCGAGTGATAAGATTCTCATGATCTTTTAAAAATACAAGAACTAGATTATTACACACTTGCTTCAGTATGATATGATTGATTGTCAATGTATGCACAAGTTATAATTAGTATTTTGGAAAGAGTCCCACAAAAAGACTTCAGAAAACAAAGTATTGTTTGTTCTAAATAGTCAGCTTCCATTCAGTACATCCATTACCAGATTTTTAAATATTTGTAAGTCATAGGACAAGGAATGAAGTTATTCATCTTAATTAGTATATCCTTAGCACACTGTGGATAAAAACTAAAGATATAAAATACTAGAGGTTTATCACTGTAAATAAAAGCCTTTTTTTTTTCCATTGTAGTAATATTAACCAAAGTTAACCCACACCAACAATATTTCTCTGGAATCACCAAAGACCATAAGTAACTAAAAAATATATAAGTGTTTTGGAAAGATAAGACTTAATATTTGAGAAGTGATAGATTTTATTTTGAATTTTGTCCACTATCAGAAAAAAGAATATTTTCCTTATTGTAAGTCTTCTCTTCTAAATTTATCAGGAATCAAGTCAAGTCAGTCATTGCTTCACTCCAAGATATTATTAAAGATATTACCGTTTTTCTATATGAAGATATTAGCACATTTGAGCTTTCAGCCGACTTCATTTGCGACAGGCCATGCAGCAAATGCGAGTAAAATTAAAGGTCCTGGCACCAGTTATTATTTCTGCATTTTATTTGTCTTTATTCAAGCTATGTACATGCATTTTATTAAGCAAGTATTAAATAAAAATATAGCTTAGTACAGATAAAGCTGACAATCTTAGAGACAAAGGCTATTAAAACAGACAACAATGAGAATTATTCGGAATACCTGGTTTTAAATCCCCATGGACAAACATGTCAATCATATATCGACAGAACGCATACTGATCTGACAGAATAGAGAGAAAAAAAGAAGCAATGAAAATGTGTCATCAACATCTGCCTATTTAACATGAAGACAAGATGTAGCAAAACAACAAAACGGTATGAGTCTATTTTGGCGACTACTTATTCTCGTCAAGGAATAAACTGTGATTTTTATGAACACGCAAAGGAAAATACATAATAAGCATAATGTTTCACTTATTACCTGTAAACTCTCTTAAATATGGAAACAGATTTATTCATGGTTATATAAGGTAGGGGATATTTGAAAATTCCAAAACTTTTTTCTCAGCATCTGCTCTGATACCCTGCTGGGTAGAGTCTTTGAGAGGCCCTCTATGGTAGGCTCCTGTGCTGTTCCCTGTCTTCTCCCACTTCTAATGTCTATCCCATTTGCTTTTCTGAATGATGATTAAGCATCTTCCTTAGGGTCCTACTTTTTGTTTAGCTTCTTTAGGACTATAGATTTTCGTATGCTTATCCTGTGTTATATGGCTAATATCCACTTATAAGTAATTATACACCATGTGTGTCTTTCTGCTTCTGGATAATCTCACTCAGGATGATCTTTTCTAGTTCCCACAATTTCCGTGCAAATTTCATGATTTCCTTGTTTTTAATTGCTGAGTAGTATTCCATTCTATAAATGTCCCACAACTTTTGTATCCATTCCTATCAGTGGACTCAGGGAGGGAGAGGGGAAAAAAGGGAGGGAGAGTGGGACCAGGAGGAGATGAGGGAGAGGGCTACAGCTGGGATACAAAGAGGAATTAATTGTAATGAATAAAAATAAATTAAAAAATTCTATCTCTCTTTAAAGCAATTGTTACCACTTGTCCTTTTGAAAGGAAACAAGGGTTAATTCTCTCCAACTAGGAATGTTTACCAAGACCCTCTGCTGGCTGTGCCTGTGAAGGGCTGATGACTTCTTGAGTGAGGCCCAGAGGGTGAGCCTATCGTAACCTGTTTGGGATCTGCTCATGGAAATTCTCCTTATTAGAGAGGTGAGAGTCATTCAGCAGCACCAAATGATAAAAATATTAACAACGTAAACACATATTTGATACAGGCACAGTCCAAAGTTGCTTCAGGAGCTGGGTGTCTTATTTTTTTCAACTCAATTACATACAAGCCCATAGAAACACACATTATTGCAGAGTTAGTGTTTTTCCATAGTCAATATAACTCTTATCTCTACCATAAAGGGTCTTTAATGATTTCATAAACTTTATCATAGCATCTTTAAAGCTTATGTATGATGATTCATGTATTCAATGATTTACATTTTAATACCCTTTTATTAAGCATTTTATTAAACAACCAAATGCAAATGAAGTTGTAACACCTAGAAAGTTTATTGAGTTTATATAGTATGACACATTTTTAATTGTTCAAAATTATTGGCATCAAATAGAAAATAACTAAATTAATTTCTATATGAATACATAACCAACAATATTTATAAGCCTTATTTTTTCAGTGTTAGCATCAATTGAAAACAATTATATTATGAAGCTCTGCTGGGGTCTTTTAAATGATAAATGTGGTTATTATAATAGATCTAAAAAATAGAATAATTTTCATTAACACATAAATAGGGGTGAGTCAATGCTTTAATGTTTCTAAAATTTATATGTATTCTGGTTGCTGAAATGAGGTAGGAAATAGGAAAAGGCCAGTTTTCAGACTAGCCCACAAGTCTTGTTTCATTGAAGCACTTTCGAGGATGATTTCTGCCTCATCCCAGGCTCTGGGAATCCTATGGTATTAGACAAAAGTGACATTAAAACAGGCATGTTTTCCTCCTTCCTGGGCACAATTTTTTTTTCTTTCTTCTTTGATAAATAGACAATTTTGCTATAAAACAAGGCTAAGAATATTTTCTGTTTCATTGGAGCATATGAATTTAGAATACTGTGAAGTGTCTATCTTTCCCTTGATTCTACCTATCGTTCAGGAGCATTTCCCAAAAAGATAGAAATATACAAAAATATATGTATATTATTCACAAAGTTGTAGCCCATGAGCCTGTTGCTTGTATGTATTTTTCACAATCCTCTCCATTGTCTAATTACACTGAAGGACTAGGAGTTAGAGCTCTGACAGATAAGGACAGGAACCTCAGACAGATATTAGAGATGGCTTCCTCTGTACTTTCTAGAACAGCCTAAAATCAGCTTGGCATCATTTTTCTCCCTCCGTTTGAGCCTCCTGCTTGTGGATCAGTGTTCTAGGTTCAAGGCCTGACCAGTATGTGTTTGTCCAAAAGTTGTAGGCCTGTCGCTCTCCTTGTCTTAGTTAAAACTAACTAGTCCTAAGTTAGGAATGGAGACCTCTTAAAAAGACTTAAAAATCCCCAGCTCGAGAGAAGAGATGAGACTTTGGTTTCCCTAGTCCCCTTCTGCTCTGTAGAGGGTCTTTCTGAGTGTGCTCTGCAGGTGCTTTCCTCATCACCCTTAAAAAATACATTTCTTCTCCACCTGAAAATTTTTCCTGCTGTTACCTATTGCACTCCAGATTTTTCTTAAATTTTAATCCTTTAACCGGCATAGAAAATACACTTGATCAAGACCCCCAGACAGTAACAACAGCACAGAGATCAGCTTTTTTTTTCCTTCCACAAAAGTCACTAGTTGTATTTTAACCTCCTAGAGTAGCATTTTTTGATTATTATTTGTTACATATGTCCGGATTTTATTTAGGATATAAAAGGGGCCAAAGCGAAATATTGTTTTCTGCCCCCAAGTGTGAAAGGGTGGTTACATCAAGGCCATGATGGATGGTTGAGTTGACTAAATGTGCCCTTCTGATTTCCTCATTGATTGTTTACACTGCAGTGAAACTTTTTATCCTGGTACCATTTGCTGATCTTTATAGCACATGACTTCTGCTTCCAAAAAGACATTTATTAAATTAATGTATTAATAGTCCAATAAGCTTTTAATACACAGTGGGATATCTTGTGTGGAGTTAAACAAAAATTTTTTTTCACACAGAATATTGCTTAGGCTTTTAAAGTATTAGCTACATGAAAACAAAGTGTGGCTTTGCATTCTAATGACTTCGACATATCATAGACAACTTAAGAAGAATATTTGTATATTTTTAACTATTTTTTGTTATAATGTTGAATCTCACCTGTTTTCAGAGTTGAACTTAACAATCTCTGAAAATTCTAGTAAGGCTAGAGTTGGGCTTCACCTGCCTGAGGACGGAGCATAGACAAGTACTCTGGATTTTAGACTACTCATTTTATGGAAATACTTCTGTAAATCCAACTCAATACAAGAGGAAATTACCCTGAAAAAAAAGTCTGAACTGTCTCACCATTCTTGAATTAATAGTTATAGGATAGTAATGTCTATAAGGAAATTTCTTATTTGATCACCACCCTGAAGATAAGAAAGAAAGAAAGAAAGAAAGAAAGAAAGAAAGAAAGAAAGAAAGAACAAACATTCTGCTAGAATTAATTTGTGTTGTCCATTCCTGCCTATGTCTCTTCAGGAAGCACTGATGACTCCACTCAGCTGCTGACGCCAGGTTGGTGCTCCCTGTGGAATGCCAGCCAAGGGAAAATGAATTTGGGAGCAGAATGTCGAATGATCTCTAATGGGCATGGTGTGCCTGTGGTCTGGTGCGCTATGGCAGATTCTCATTATCTGTATATTCTGTGGATGCCACAATACCTGAATCATTGTTTTAAAAAATAATAAAATAACAAAAGAATGACCACAGTATGTATAACATCTGTGAGAGATTTATTTCCCCACAGACTTGGCAGAAAGCAGCAGAAAACAGGGAGAAATGTCAAATTGTGTCTACTTTGCAACCTCAGCTTGACTGAATTTGAAATGGTCTATAAAAAGCAGATTATATAATATGTAAGTATGGGTAACTTTTCAATGTTTTAAGTATATATACATGTTTTAAGTATATGCAAAAGTAAATGTTGAAAGTAAACACAAGGAAATGTTTATTGATACTATTACTGTATAAGCAATTTTTACCAACACATGTCTGTCCCACACAAGATTATTTCCAAAAGAACAAAGAGTATTGGGCATTTAAATGAATTTTTAAAAAGATCCTTATAAGGGGATGGTGCGACCACCATTTAAACTGTTTCCTGCTCTTGGAGAAGAGCTGGATTCAGCTCCTAGAACCAATCCTGTGAATCTGATGCCCTCTTCTGGTCTTGGAGAGAATCTGAATTCACCTGCACAAATACAAACACACACACACACACACACACACACACACACACACACGCACACACACATGCACGCACGCACATGCACACACATACACAGCATTAATTTGAAAATAAATTATACACACACACACACACACACACACACACACACACATACATTCTCATTCAGCATAGTTCAACTTAACAAATAAACTTTATTTCACCCAGAATAAAATAACTCAGTTTTGTTGTGCTAGCAATTTAAGAATTTAAAAATTAAAGTGATTTTAATAAAAAGTAGAAGATGCTATGTCTTTATTTTGTTTAAACTACCAATGTCATGTCATCATGTTTTCACAAACACGGATCTTAAATATCTGCTTAGCTTTAAATAAGAAAGGAAGGAAGAAAGAAAAAGAAAAAAAATGAATTTGACCAGCTATTATAGGTTAAATTTTTATTATCGCCCTAATTATACAATCATTTATTGGTGGTAGCAGTACACATGGAGGGTCCATGCCTTAGCCATGTGTTTGCTTAGATGTTATAATCATCTTGATGGCTTTGCTTATAACTGGAACTGATAGTGGGTTTCCCTTTAATGGTCAATTAGCCCTTCACATAAAAATGAAAACAAAATAATTGAGAATGAAATTGGGATAAAATATTATCTTTAATAAATTTGACTAGTGATATGATAAAATTTAGTATTTGTGACCTGGAAAATAAACACTATTTGAAAGTGTCTGGTGTAACCAGTTTATCAACTGGTTGTTGATAAACTGATGTATGGTTCCCAAATTACAGGAGACACTAAAAGTAAACATCTCAAACTGGGCTCTTGTGCCTAGTTACTAGTTAAGTCTTCTGACATTCAGTGTAAATGGTATATGTTTTATATAATGATGTTTTCATTGGTTTCATGTTACTCTTTTCCTTCTTAAGGGGTAATCTGAAATGCACACTATTTTAGAATCCAAATGCCCATATACTGAATCAAAAGATTAATTTTCTTGATTTTTATAGCAGTAAAATACTCATTTAAATTTTTTCCTCATTATATCATTTTTATGGCATACACTTTCATATATGACATTACTTAGGAAGATAATACTTTGCATTTTCAATTTCCATGATTGTATAATCATTTTATAAATAGTAAGTTCAACTTTCCAAAGTTTTTATTCAAGAGTATCTGTAAAATTAGATTGAAATGAATGAAAATTACATAAAGCCTATGAACCATTAAAAAGAAAATCTCCTTTCTTTTCATTGTAAATATATTCTATACATGCTTGTTTTTAATATAAATCAAAGTTTACATGCATTACTTATGTGTCAGAGTTTATAATCATTGTGAAGTGAGGAAAATAAGATAAGAATATGAAGAATATGCAATTCATATTATGTACCTTGTAGAGAAAAAATAATTTTCCAGTCCTACCATTCAAATTGCCTCTATAGTAACAAAATTTAAAAGTATCAATAAAGTTGTATAAACAGCAATTAGTCCATATAGTAACAGGACTGAAGAATGTATTGGGGTATGAAAAACCAACAAAGGAACCTAATGGTTAGACAAAAAGAGCTTTAGTGACCATTTTTAATTAACACAATACTTTCTGTAAAGAAGTTTCTCTGCATTTAAATATTATATTTCTAGGAAGCGAGTTAACAAGTCCTACTTGACAGAGAGGACACCTGTCTTATGCAAACCTTCCTAAAGTTAAAGATTTTGTAAGGAGACTAGGAAAAGCACCCTGACACATCTTTATCCTGCAACATTTGTTAGTCTGTTGTGCATATTCTGAATGGTATCACTGCAGCAATATCAAGGAAAGGAAGCTTTTCATTTTATTATTTATTTTTTTTTTTCTGTATGATTTGTACATTGACTCCTGGAGCAACCACTCCTTGAGAGTTACCGTCAATTTTAAAAATTGCCTTTCTCCAGAGTCTGACACTTTCAATTGTTCAATTGTTATTCCAACTCCTGTTGAAATCCTCAAGATTTCAGCACTCAGGGCCGCATTTAAATAACTCCCGTGCTCACTCAACACTCCTTAAAAAAAAAAAAAAAAAAAAAAGCGCATCTACCTAGGTGAGCACATTTTATTTTATTTATTAGTATGTTAATACCCAATTACTGTACTTCCTCTCCGGCATCTTGGCTTGGATCTGTCTTTCTATTTCATCTGGGGTTTAATTTTAGTCTTTCTCAGGTTTTAATTTGACTGCCTCTGCTTCTTGCCCAATAATCTCTTAAAATCTCCAGCTGCCTCCTCCTCCTCAGGATGTTTACCTTTCTGTTCATGCTTGGGCACAGGTACAGTCTCTTTCTCATCTCTCTCTCTGGCTTTTGGTGCTGGTCTCTGAGTTTCTTTTGCTTTTGCAGCTGTTGGTTTCACTTTCTCCTGTTTCCCAACTTTCATTTCCTTCTTAGCCTTTTCTTCAGTCTTCTCCTTAGTTTTAACTTTCTTGTCTTCTGTAATGAGTTAAGAAAGGAACTGTAATTAATATAAAAAATTAAAATTAAAATTAAAAAAAGTTATTTTTCCTTTGTTTGCTAACATAATTCTTCAAGTGTCATTAATGCTCAAGTAGCATCTTAAAAGGCAAACAAGAAAATCAATACAAAATGTATGTCTTGCATGTAAACACTGTGGACAGTTTCCAGAGTTTTATAAGGTTTACAAATATGTTACATTAGACATCAGGTCATCGGCAAGATGAGTCTCTCCTTTAATTTCCACCTGAAAGGAACAATTTGGATTTTTTCACTATTGTTGTTGTCATTGTTTGTTTTTATTTTGGTTTTGGTAGTCAAGAGCCTTAGCTATCCACAATGAGTCATTTGTGATATGCAGAGTTTGTCACTGTAGGCAGCTTTAGTAAGAAAAGTGTCCACACTAAGGAGCCCAGTTAAAGACTTTCCTCTTGAAAGAATATGATCATCTTTTTCCACAACTGAAAAATCTTAGACTTACTCAAAAATAACTCTATTGCAATAATTTTTCAGAAGATAAATGCAAATGAAAATTATTTTCATAATAGTGCATAGCAAAATTAGAGTGATGAAACCTACTAGAGAGTGACAGACAGACATCCTTAATGTCTGCGCCTGCAAAGACTGACGATACAAAAACAGATAAGCTTTCTTACACATCTAAGTCAGGGACCACATTTCTAATGTTTGTAAAACATTAAAACTGTCCTGGGGACAGAGGCTGTCTCTCACATGAACTCAGTGTCAGGCTCAGGTCACCTCCCCCTGGGGGATGCAGCCTTACCAGGCCACAGAGGAAGATGAGGCAGTCACTCTTGATGAGACCTGATAGGCTAGGGTCAGATAGAAGGGGTGGAGGACCTCACCTATCAGTGGACTAGGAGAAGGGCAGGGGAAGATTAGGGAGAAAGGGTGGGATTGTGAAGGGACAGCTCAGAGAGCTACAGCTGGGATACAAAGTGAATAAATTGTAATACAAAAATGTCCTGGAAAAGAGTACTAGCAAGCAAAATATACATGAATATCCATATCTATTCAATATGTATTAACTTGACAGTGTATGTATTTTTGAAAAGAAAATGGTTTAGGATTATTCATTCTGTGAATAACTCAATCAGACTTTAAAATCATTGATGATATACTTGAATCAGTTAATGGGCAATGCATGTTAGACATCTTTTTACACATGGGACTGTATATAACTATTTGACATAAAATGAGGAGATCTAATTTTCAATTCACTGTTGAGATATTATTGACACATATATTAAAATTTTTTGATGGAAATAATGCCCTCCATGTATTTTGCTTTTATGTAAATCAAGCCAAGGCATCCATGTACAAAGTATGATAGTATCCTCTCAGAAACCAGTTGATTTACAAAACCCAAATCGCCAGTAATAGCAGCTGCGATGCTGCCTAGATTTCAGGGGTCACTGAGGTTACTGTTAAAATGAAAGACATTGAAAAACAACAAGCTATAATAGTTTCTTTACCATTTTATGCCTCCAAGCCAAATTGTATTGAAACTGTACAGTGGTGGACATTATGGTATCCAGAGTATTCAACATTATCACCATATAATTTTCTCTTCATAAATGTGTGGCTTTTTTTTTTTACTATATGGTGTAATTCTTTCTCTTTCTTTCTCTCTCTCTCTCTCTCTCTCTCTCTCTCCTAAATTACAAAACAATATCTTCTGCTTCTTTCTCCACTTTTGTATGGCAAATTCATACACAACTTGAACATATATACCTTCCAGAGAACCTAGATTGAGCTGTCCCGTTGTCTACTTGATGCATTTAAAAGATCAGCACATTGCCACTGTCCTTAGAGATTCTAGCACAGCATTTATGACACCGTGATATCTGCATTAATCTTGCCTCAAGTTTCTTCATGTACAGCTTTGCTCATTTTTTGGAACATGCCATGTATGTTTTTATATACTAAACTTTGTTAAAGTGCCATCTCAACATTTTCTATCTCTGTTTATATATCTGAATTCCATCATACTCCATTCACATACGAGAGAACTTTTGTCACTGGAGTTAACCATCACCTTCATTATGCCATGAGCTTTGTTCTCCATTGCATATTTTGCATTGTACAAGATTGCTCATTTATCAATTTGCTGTGCTGTGAACAACCTGAGTTCGGACGCTCTCAGTTTTTAGTTTTCTGTTACTGTTGTGTTCAATACAATGTTTATTTCCATAGAAAAATGAAACTAATGTACTCTGAACTTGAAAGCTTGACATAAAGGACTAAATGGCTTACTGCATGTGTATCATGTATGCGATAGAATGGAATGTGTACCTTGCAAGTAAATAATAAACATCTGTACTTTGAAATTTTACTAGCCTTTTTGTCATATGTATATATATATATATTTGCTTTGTGTGAAATTGCTTTTTTTTTTTTTTTTTTTTTTAGCTATCTTAAATGCCATCTACCTGTGCCTTGCAGAACACAATTGATTTTACCTATGTCTTGGTACTATAGAGATATAGATAGGTGAATATCAGAACTATTTTAATACCATTGAATTTTATAACTGGCAAAATTGATTTTCTTAGTGACAGAACCACACATTCAACATAAGCATTACAATAGCTTTTTTTATAAAAATGAAAACTTCCTATTTCTATTGTCAACTCCTTAAAACAAGTAAATTTGTCTCACATTAGAAAAGAAACGGGGGACTGTGAGAACCAGGCCTAACTTCGGCTTACTTCTCTTGACTTTGCATACCATCTTCTATTTCTATTTTCTCTCTGTTACTTTTATGAAAAACAAAAGGTAGGCACCATCCATACAGAGTCTAACATATGCACCAGTCATGGGGTAATAATGAATTTTGCACATTTCTTTCCAGAAGAATTTCTAGGGCGTACTGGAAAATTACTGCCCTTGAACGGATGGTATTTTAAACTTAAAAAAATATACACTGTGTCCTATGAAAGTGCCAGTAGGAGTCATCAGCTTCCACAATGATCACAGCATCCTAAAGAGGTCACGTGTATTTCTAACTCAAGTATCATATGCTTAGTTTATGCTTTTTTAACCTTAATCTATTTTCCTAGAAACCCACATATCATATAAAAATCATGTGTACATTTTCCAGTCCTAATATAACCTATATATACATAGATTAAATAAAATAAAAACATGTGTGAGGATATTACATGTATGTAAAATGTACATAATTTGTTTACATGTATCAATCAAGCTCACCGTATATAAACTGGAAAGCATTGGTAATGGGCAGACCTAAATAGCTTCCAACAGCCCCTATCTTCTTCTCTCAGTGAATGTTGGCTAGTCCTGTGATATGCCAATCAATAGTCTATGGCAGAAGTAATTAGATTATAATTCCATAATAATCAATGTAATATCATAATATCCATCTTGATTTTCCCTATGGCTAGGCTTAGGGAAGTCAGTTATCCTACCAGTGTGTGTGAATTTGTGGCAAAGAACAGAAGACTGAAGAGAACCTCATTGAACAAGATGAGCCAAATTTGAATTATGTATTGTGTGGAAAAATGAATGGGTTCTCTTGTATGCTGCTGAGTTTGTGATAATTTATTGTCCTAGTGATAGGAAAGAGACATATATTGTTCCACAATTTTCACAAATATGATACATTGCATTTCATTTCTGGATGCTCAAATATCAATTTATAAATGAATGCACCTTAACCTTATTCTAAGAATATGAGGGGTTGGAGAGAGAGCTTAGTTGTTAAAGTGCTTGCCATAAAAGCATGACTTGAAGTCAATCCCAGCACCCACATAAAAAGCTAAGCATTTTGATTGAGCATGTGATCCTAGTGATATAAAACTAAATGCAAAGCATTATATTCGTAAAAATGTGGGACCAGATATGTCGGTTTCTTTTTGCTAGAATAATGATTATCATAAAGTTTGGCCTTAGAATTTATTCTAAAAACTCAATTATTGTTTATAACATAGATACGTATTTGATAGAGGTACATTTTCCCATAAATACCTTGTTCCTTGTTGATGCTGGAATAGAATTGCTCCTATATATAATTCATATCAAACTTACATTTTAAAAGAAGGGGAAAATATTGACATTTAGGAGACATTCTTCAGGGAGTTAAAATGTATTGTTTTCAAACACTTAAAACATTTCAAAGATGAACTCAGGCTAGAAAAATACACCTCAATTAATCTTACAAAATAAGGAAATAATTATTTTTTTGGTACAGGGCTCACAAGACCAAAATGAAGTCACCAATTTGCTGTGCTCTTTAGTGGAGTTTCTGTAGGAAGAAACAGCTTCCATGTTTATTCAACATAAAATCAAGATTTTCTTCTTCTTCTTTTTTTTTTTTTTTTTTTTTTTCATGCTTCTCCTGTGGCCCCACAAGTTTCATGGCAGTCAGGAAGGCTAAGACTGCATACTTTAAAACCTGCTTAATTTTGGTGAATTTTCTCTGCTTCTAAATATTTTGTAACTTTCTTGAGTGCAAGACGTCACATCAGGGTCATTTGTTTATTTTTAGATCAAACATGACAACTTCTGCAAAAGTGTCATAGGGATGACACAGTGGGATAAAAGTCAGAGAGAGCAAAATTCTGCCAATCACATGAGGATATTTTATTTTCAATTCATGTTTTTTGAGATTTTTTTATAAATAATTTTAATTTTTTTTCTTCATAATATATTCATTATATATCCTGATTGAAGCCCCACCCTCAACTCCCCTAGTCCCACCCTCTTCCCCTTCCTCTTGTCCACTAAAAGGGGGAGTTTTCCACTAAGATTTTATTTTTTGACGTATTTGGTTTTATTATCATTTAGATATCCAATGTTAAATCACTGTATTTAGATGAAACTTAAAAATTATTGCAAACATTCTAGATTCACCCAAAATGTACTCTCATTACCAAAAGTCTTCAAGAATGAAGATAACAAGGATAAAAGTTACCTTTTGCCATTGCCTTTGTCTCTGTTTTTTCTTTTTTCTCAAGTTTCTCCTTGTGAGTTGCTTAAACAGAAAATTAACATTAAAAAGTTATGAATTATGTGCACTTTTAATAGATCTCAAAGTTAATTTTCTTTTGACTACAATATTATAGACACCAACTAATGAAGTAACTGGAGGTTTAGGGCACAGATGGACCCACAGTTAGATATACAGTAACCAGTGGCTAGTGGACACATTAAATCCAATATAAAATTTGGTATTAAGAGTTAGAAAGCAGATGATCACGTGGTTTTTCTCCTTCAGTTTGTTTATATGGTGGATTACATTGATGGATTTCCGTATATTGAACATCTCATTAGATGCCAAAAAAGCATTTGACAAAATCCAACACCCATTCATGTTTAAAGTCTTGAAGAGATCAGGAATACAAGGCACATACCTAGACATAGTAAAGGCGATATACAGCAAGCCTATAGCCAAAAGCAAATTCAATGGAAAGAAACTTAAATAAATTTAACGATGTTATACATGATACCTGAAAAAATATCTTCATATTATTTATTTAGTAACTTAATGAATCAACAATAATTTATTTAACATGTCTGTCTTCTGTAAGTTCTAAGAAATCTTTAGGTCTCAAGAGAAGGTCAATGCTATGTGCAGCGTAGTTCCATATTTCAAATAAATAGTTCATTTATGGAAGGTGACAACATTTTTATACAATGTATCCTAAAACATAAACATCTTTAACTGGCATATAGATAACAGAAAAATACTTACATAAAGCATTTTAGCGCTGGTTTTCATTCTGACTAAATTTTTTACACTTACAATTTAAGGGCCATCTTTTAATTATTTAAAGAAAATATTTAGCAATATTGAAGCTTGAAAATTAATAAGAACCATAAAATTATTTGATTTTGTCAGGATACAGAACCTTATGTTCAGAATTCAGTACCTTACCAGTAAAAGAGAAGTGAATAAATATGAATAAGACAGAGAAAGAAGATAGGAGCTTTAAAATTCAAGGAAATTACCACTAGGTAAATATCAATTAAAGAGTAACTCTTTAATTCTAATATTCAAGTGTGAATATGTAACAAACAATATTGAAACATGCTTCTACCATTCTGGTTCATAAATATCGCATCCACTCTACATATTATATCTAAACTGCAGTGTTCCGTAAACCGGGAGAGCCAGCTGGCTGTGATACTGAGGATCAAATTAGGTCCAGTCAAACAATAGCAGAAAACCAAATCATGATCTTACCTCACATAATACAACGAAGCACAGCGGGATGGATCAAAAAATGTAAACCAAGGAAGATTTTTTTTTAAAGCTTAAGAAAATGATTACCATAGATTTAAACTCTGATGAATGTCCTAATTAAGGTCCCAAAGCAGAAATACTACAGGAACCACACACACACTCACTCACTCACTCACTCACACAGGTATGCACACACACACACACACACACACACACACACACACACAGCAGTAAGTGGGCAAGGGATATGAACACACAGAGAAATCTATAACCCTAAAAGCATATTAAAGTCAACATTACAGAAAATATTAAACTAAGGCATATGATGTAAGATCTCTTCTCTCCATTACTATGACACTTTGTAAAAATAGTAAGGAAAATATGTATAGGTGCAGAAATTTTTCTAGGATGTACTTTTGATTTAAGAAAGTCAGAATATAACACAAACTATATTTTGTAAAAGATAAATAGAGAAACAATACTATAAATTACTAATACAATAGTAAATCATATATGTATATAAACTTATATATGTATATAAGTTTACTATGTGTAGACTTAATAAACACCATTGTGTACATAGTGTTAATGAAGCTTTAGAGAGCTTCACAAAACCTCACACAAATGGCTGTCAGCACCCGAGGTGAGATGAACTAGGAAATGGCAAGGTTAGAGGATGATAGGGAAGGTTTTCACAGCTCATCTTCCTTGTTCGAACAGTAAGCTGGCTTATCTATCCTCTCAATAAATAAGCAATATCAAACAATTAAAGTAATACAATAGGCAACTTAATTTAAATACTAAGATGGCTATTTACCTATAAAACTGACCAGTTATTATGTTTTCTCTCTCTCTCAAGAAATAGTCTTTAAGGCAGGCTCAAAAATACCAAAGGCTGACATATTTCTTAAAAGTGACATGGTAACAAAAGCCTAATGTACTTTATTCCCTTTAGTTCATAAAATGCTCCTTTGTTGTTCTATTCCATGACAATAAACATAATACAACTTTTAGAAGAAGATATTAACATTTTCTAAAGTCTAGATACAATGAAGAGAAATAAACGCCTTAGGAAAAAAAATCTCTAATGTTAAAGTAATACAAAGAATAACTGCATACCTTTCTTCTCAGGTTTTTCTCCTTCTTTTATTTTTTCTTTTCCTCTTTCCTTTTCTCTGTGTGAAACTGGAAAGAATCAGATAACACTTATAATTTAAATCAATGGAATAATTTTGAGATAATTTCATGACAGTTTAGCTTAGAAAGTACTTGCAGAAATCATCCTTTAGCTGCCATGAAGGTTTGTTTATATTCTTAAACTTCAAAATAATTACAGATTTGCTTTGAACACTACTTTTTATTTCACTTCGAAGCATAAGCGGACTAAAATATTTCTGACTACAAAGATAAGAATGTTCCCGAGTTTTTTATTCTTTCACTTAATAAATTGGAAGATCTTCTCTCCCTCCTCTCTCTCTCATATACACACACACAGTATATGTTGAAAAAAATTCTAGTTTTCATAATGGCTGAATGTTAGAAATATGAAGACAAAACTATAGTACCCTGAACTGAAAGCTAAAAGCAATGACGATAAACCACATCTACTAATACTTTACATTAAATATTTTTTTAACTAATCGTATGAGGCTAGGATGTTTTGACACCTTTCCAAGGGAAGCAAAACTTGATTTAGTGAGCTGTGATCCAGTTACTTATTCCAAAAGGATTCAAATTTAAGTGAAAACCTTGTCTTATTATTTATTCATAGTGCTTATTAATCACCAAGCTAGTAATATAGAAATCAAACCACCCTCTTCTACATCCTAACTTTCATTCATTCATTAAGCTCTTTCAATCTAAGCTTTCTGATGCTCTCTTGGCCATCTTTTCTTCTCCCCTACTACCGTTCCTTTGCACAGGAATACGCAGAGAACACTTGTCAAGGACTGAAGATTTTCTTTGGCAAGACAAATACCTTCCCTTTCAAAGGGGTGTCAACACACTAATGGGTGATGAATGCTAAACAAATAATTGCAGAGGTAGTTAATTGCATTTAGTGTAATTACTATGGAGAACATAAGCAAGATGGCATGTCAGTGTGGATAATAGGACTCATCTCAACTACATGTTTGGAGAAGGCCCCTTGGTAGATGTGACATTGAAGAATGTGAGGAAAAAAAAAAAAAACTTGAGGAAATTAACCTAGTCAGAGACTATGAAGACATGAAGGAAGGAGGCCGTTTCAGCAGGTCTGAGCAGGGTATCTGCTGTGGATAAGAAATCCCAGTGCCCCGCCCATTGCCTAGCATTCTATGTGTCACACATAGGAACTATCACAAATTTACAGATATACCATTGTCCCAGTGACCTGACATTTGGTTACAATGAGAAACTTTCCCTCAAATGTTACATTTGGTCCTAAGAGAGTCCTGGTAGCTTCCTAGGACACCATGGCCCCCTGTGTGGCACTTCCATCTCTGCTTGTTTGTATCTTCCATCTTAAATTCCCCAAACGCATGCCCACACTGTCTATTCCTCACCCCATGAATTGCTCTTGGGACTGGGCTCAAGCTCTGTAAATTGCTATCCTATCTATACTTACTGTGGACAGCAGATATACCAGCTATCAATTCTATAACAAAAAATAATAATGTTGCCGTTGTTTATATGTGGCTGCCCAGTAGAGGAAATCTTTTAAGGAATGTGGCACATAACAGCTTTGGAGACCCTCTTCATACCATTATCTGTCATATAGTATGCTATTCATAACATTCTGTCATATATGAAATTGCAACGTTTTCTAAGAACAGCTAATAACCTTTTTTGCTTTCAATCTCTGGAAACATACTTTATTAAAATTTCTTAAATAAAATCGAGAAACAGGAAGGGGGTAACCTACCTCAAAACATCTATACCCTACTCCCCCCCACACACACACATAGTGGTTATTTTAGGTGCTTCAGAGAAACTAGTTTCAATTAAAAAAAAAAAAAAACTCACCAAATAAGGGTAGGAAATCAGCACTTACACAGACCAGAAAGACCTCATAAAGAGCTGATTTTTTCTTTCTTTGGATCATTGTTAATTAAGCTGACATCCAGATTTTTTTTTTTTTTTTTTTGCAAAAACAAAGCCTCTTTTAAAGTTTCTCTAGGGGGAATCCAAGTTTCTGAGAGATAAGCTGTGCATTCAGAGCCCTGACTAGAACGACCCCCAAGGGAACACCTAATCTGTAACCCTGCCTGTGCACCCCAGACAGCTGGCTGTCCCTTCCACTTGCAGATTTTCAGATTGACATGTGCACAGGCATAAACGGGAGAATTAATACAAAACCAGAAGAGCAAAGGGGCTGAATTCAGACTCAAATTAGCATATTAACTCCTCATTCCTGTTTACCCAGTGGGAAAAGCTGGTTCCTTCAATCAAACATTCTGATTTACAGACACAGTGGTACATACTGGAATTTCATTATCCTTCAGAAATAACTCCCCACTACAGTTTAGTGAAACAGCTGGACCCATGGTCTCTAGGGAGCTGTTCAAAATGGCAGAAAGCCACCAAAGCTGCTTGGGCAGAAACTTCAAACTTTGGCAAGAATGTGCTCAAATACCAAGTATTGAAATGGCTTTAGACCATGCAAAACAACAGTCAGTAAGGGTTTTTGAAAGAAAAATATTTTGCTACAAAAGCAACAGTCACTAACTTCTAACATGCTCTGCTGAGGACCTATCACCCATATGGAAAATAAAAAGCTACCTACTTGCTACCAACCTATACTGGCAAGCCCTGTCTTGGTACAGGTACTTTCAACCCAGGGCAAAACTAAGCGTTGGCACCTGTTAGAGCTTAGTCTGCCATTCTCATTTACATGAAACCAAATTCCCCTTTGTAGGCTCACAATGAAGAGCAAATGGAATGCACCACTTGGAGTGGCACAGTGGCTTGGCATCTGAGTTGGCATGGCTGTGCCCATCCCTGTTCTTGTCAAGAATGACCTTTCTTTGACCAGAACATTCAGCTCAGGTCAAATCTGAAGCATATTGCGTCTTCCCACAGGACACCTCTCTGGCTTTCTTCCACACCTCTGCTTTTTAACCTAGCAGACACTAAAAAGACATGTATTTTCAGGGGGTTTCAGAGAACACAGTGTCTCTGGTCTCCTAGTTCTTAGTTGCTACATCATTCTCTGAGGGCTTCTCACAGTTCATAATCCAAAGTTGTGGTATGAAAGTTTTTAAGTGCAGCTCTTTATAGACTACTAAGTTCTCCAACTGATAGGTGACAATAAACTAAACTAGACCTCTGAAGATTACATTTGACTTCATGTGTGCTGAATAATAGAATAGGCGCTATACCTTTTAAAATAAAAGCTCTGAGGTGCATTCTTTTACTTTGTAGAATTTTCCACATTTTATTTAAAAAATAAAACTTCTCTGTTTTGAGATATCTAGTGCTTTTTAAAAATTATTTTTTAATTAATTACAATTTATTCACTTTGTACCGCAGCTGTAGCCCCCTCACCTTGACAGTAAAGTATCACTCCAGAAAGCAGAGTGAAAGTACCAAATAGATCACTTTGATTTAAAATTATAAATTCTCCCTTAAAAAAAAAATGAACTGTTTATAAAGTCTTTTCTGTGTCGAGACTTTACAAATATAACACCTGCTTAAAATTTATATAGACATGATGGCCTCTGTCTCCATTGTCCATTTTCATCTACCCAATGACAGATACTCTACTCTGGGTGGACAGTTTGGCCATTTCCTAGCCATTCTTTGAGGGAGCCACAATTTATTATGTATTCTCTGTGCTTCTGTCTCTTAGGGGCATTATAGTTTCCTGTCAACATAGCTCCATTTCTGTGTTGTTTGAACTTGCTTTTCCCTGAGGGCAAAAGATGTCGAACACAATATTAAATATGCAAATATGTGTTTATTATTCATATTTCTTCAGTTCATAACTGTGTTTAATTCATTGGCTCATTTATTGATTAGGTAATTTGACTTGGGATACATAGTTTTGGGCCATTTTTACAGATTCTTAATATAATCTCCTATGACAGGTAGAGTCATTAAATGTTTTCTCCTACTTTACATACTATGTTTTTACTTTGCTAAGTGCTGGTTTCAGTGTGCAAAACTCTTATAACTTCATCTAATCCTATTAGTCAGGACTGGTTTGCTTCCTCAGTCCCATTCAGAAAGTCTCTTTCCATGCTTATGGCTTGAAGGTTTATTGCCTGTGCCTTCTTGTTGCATCATCAAGGTCTCCAGTCTAAGATTAAGGTCTGGTATAGTCTGGGTTGATTTTTGTTGTACTGGGAAAGATACAGATCTAATTTTATTATTCATGTGTGGAAATGCCGTTTATCAGGCATCTTTTTCTGAAGAACCGTCTTCTTTCCTTTAAGTGGTTTTTCTACCACTGTTGGATTAGGTGCATGAAGATTTATGGGTGTATTTCTGGGAATTCGATTCTATCTCATCAGTCTAGATGTCTATTACTGGGCCGGTACTTTGTTGACATGATGTTACAACTTTGCAGTTGATGCATTGCCGCTTTTGCTTAGGATGGCTTCGACTCGTCAGGATCATTTGTGGTTCTATACGGATTCTAGAATCTTTCCTTTGAGCTCCGTAAAGGAATCATTGAAATGTTGATGGATAGTGCATTTTTACAATACTATTAGTGTGACCATGAGCGTGAGATGTCTTTTAATCTGATGCTTTTTTGTTTTTTTTTTTCCCGATTGTTTAGTGTCTTGAAATTTTATTGCAGAGGTCTTTCGACTCCTTGGTAAGACTTAATTCTATTTTTTTTTTTTTTGTGAAATTATGTGAATGGGATTGTCTTCTAATTTTTTCATGTTCAGTTCATTATAGCATGTAGAAGAGCTATTGATTTATGTGTTATTATTTTTATCTGGGCACTTTGCTTGTTGCCATGCCTTTCTTTTTGTCTTTTCTTTTTTTTTTTTTTTGAGTTTTCACTTTATTTTTTATTTATTTTATTTTATTTTTTTATTAATTACACTTTACTCACTTTGTCTCCCCCCCTCCCCGTGGTTACCTCCCTCCTCCCATCCCAATCCCTCCCTTCCTCCACCCTCTGTATGCATGCCCCTCCCAAGTCCACTGATAGGGGAGGACTTCTTTTCCTTCCTTCTGATCCTAGTCAATTA